GAAAACCCTTACCCTGGTAGCAGCGAAGTTATCAGGCAAGCGTTTTTGAGTAGAGAGGGGCCGGAATCTGCTATTTCTACAATCATCGCCTCAGTCTCCAGATCCACATTGCAGCAATATAACAGCTCCTACAAATTGTGGTGGGAATTTTGCTTTAGTAATGACATTTCGATCTTTAAACCCACAATCAAAGACGTGGTGTCATTCTTGCAAGAGTTGACAAAGAAGAAAAACCTCACGTCTGGCACTTTTAATTCTCATACATCTGCTCTTTCACTAATTTGCTCAACTGATTTAGCATCCAATCCTATAATTAGACGCTTCAAAAAAGGCATTCATCGTTTACGGCCTTCTCGGCCAAAAATATTCGGCCACCTGGGATCCTATACCTCTCCTAAGTTATCTAGAAAAGTTACCATCTCCACTTAGCCTCCAAAGTCTGTCACAAAAATTGACAACGTTATTAGCTCTAATAACAGGAGAAAGACTCCAGACAATTTCTCTTATTCGTCTTTCACATACCTCCCATGGTCCCAGCGAAACTACCATTAATATTTCAGACCCAATTAAAACCAGTCGAATTGGGAAACCTCAACCAACCTTGCATATACCGGTTTTTCAACAAAACCCTTTCCTGTGCGTAGCCACCATCCTGAAGGAATATATTGACAGAACAGCTAGCTTGAGAGAACCCGACAACGATTTTCTATTCGTGACATATAAAAAACCACATACCAGGGCGTCCAAAGACACTTTAAGCAGATGGGTAAAACAGACTCTTGCATCGGCGGGTGTCAACACAACACTTTTTTACGCCTCATTCAGTCAGGCATGCGGCTACCTCAACGGCGTTAAGAAAAGGCGTTTCCGTAGATAGTATATGTAAAACAGTTGGTTGGACGCAACATTCCACATTTGCAAAGTTTTATAATCGTCCTTTACAAACCAACAATGAGTTTGCAAATGCCATTTTGGACATAAATGCCTGATTAGTTAGAACAGTTTAAGAGTTTGTGACGTACTTTAGGTACTCTAGTTGTTTTTTGAAAAAATATTACTATTAGGGTAAATGTTAAAAATTGACCCCTTGTTTTTTGCTTTTGTTTATGAGAATGCAGAATATATGTTTTTGCCTTTTTGGGTTTGTATACTTGTATTTTTTATATCATCAACTCGCTCGCAACTCTATCTCATCTTTAAACATCTACATAGTGAATAAACAAAGTGATGTCTTCGGACTGGACCCAAAGTATAATTGATCGATCAAACGAACTTACCTGAAGTGAAGTTCGATCGTAATTATACGAGGGTCCAGTCCGAAGACATCACCCCCACCCTATATGCAACCCTCCCAAGTTGCGAGCAAGTACCATTTCTTTAAACAAATGATTCAACGCGAGTGGCCAGGGCGCGGCGAGGAGGTGGGGATTCTCGTCTTTCAACTTGGTGCGCGGATCGTACTCCAGGGGCGGACTACATAGTGAATAAACAAAGTGATGTCTTCGGACTGGACCCTCGTATAATTACGATCGAACTTCACTTCAGGTAAGTTCGTTTGATCGATCAATTATTAATGGTTTTTGTGAGAGACTCGAATTACTCCGCCGCCTACCGTCGTCCATTATGGCGACCCAAATACATACAGAAAGATGATCGCAACAAACGGCACACAAAGAACATGCGGCATTGCGAACGTTCAATCAAATTATTTTCACGCTTTGAATCTCAGTCGACTGTGAGAAAAAAACGGTAGTAATTCAATTTGACATGGACACGTAAGCTTGATGATCGAAATTCAGAATGTTGTTTGAATCGCCACATTTCACTTTAGTTGTTTCTGTAGTTTAATGTATGAAAATATTTGTAAGAGTCCTCTAACATGTTGCTATTGCTGAGACGAATCCTGTACTAGGAGAATTTTGTTCTTGGTAAGAATGTTCGCTTATAGAACGATATCCACATATGCATTAAGCACCAGTGATAAGGTAAATAAAGTCATTGCATCCCTTTGGGTATTCTCACCTGAGAAAAGGTCAAGCTAGTAGAAGGCGTAGGATCTTGGCTGGGGTGGCAAGCTTCATTATGCTATTCATAATGACAAGGCTTTGAGGAAGAAGCCCCAGGTCATACTGCTCACGATAAGCGCTCAAAAAAGGTATTGTTAGATGCATTGCTGATGGTGGCTGATGTACCGCCGATTAATTTGCAGACTGAGGAAAGATGGGCGCTCTATGAGAAGATCGCTGCAGTAGAAGACAGCGAAAGGGAAGCGGTCTTTGTTAGACTACAGAAAAGATGCGTGGACTAGAAGAATCATTCCGGATAATAAAACCTAGATTGACAAAGGAGCAGTGCTATACTGCACAGTTTCTCACAGGAGCATGGTTATTTTGACAGCTACCTAAAGACGGTAGGAAAGAGAGCCTATGCGGACTGCATATATTGCAGCTTTTGCTCATCTACTTAAGTTTGGTAGATATGATGACTGTCGGAGATAACAAGATTTGATGCTCGGCTGCTGACAACTTTGCCAGGCGTGCAGGCAAGGACAAATGGGATGACATTCAACCAATATCGAGGGGATTGATGGTGAACCAGGTGCTTGATGATAGAAAAAGGCACAGGCAAAAGAACCAGTAATCGGTTTCTACTTACTGACTTGTATAGGTAGGAATGTATATCGGGTGATACTTCAAGGTGGTTCACCCCTACAGCTTTTTTATTATTGAAGAGAGAAAAACGAAATTTGGGGGTTACGTATTATAGATGAAGTTACTTTTTTTGACATATTCACATCGTTTGACGTACTTCCGGTTTGACGGGAAAAGCTTTAGATTTTGAAACGGGATACCCTATACATTTTTACCTATACCGATGCCATGAACTCTGTAAATCGCTTCATTTTTTATCAAGTAACACGGGAAAAATACTATTTTGAGGCGAACCACCTTTTAAAGATTTTCTAAAAGTCACAAACACTAATTTTTTCAGTTTGCTTGACTTGGAATGGAAATAAGGTGGTTCGTCGATTTTGTTAAAGAGGCCATTTTCTTACTAATAATTTGTCCCTACACAGACTTGTACTACTTTGACTAACAACAAGTAATACGTATCTGCATGCGGTATACCTATGCACTAAGTCCTATTATTCTAGTTATCTATGACAAACAATTGAAGGTATTACTAGGGACTGGAACAGAAAATGCGAAATGAACCAGAAGGAAATCCCAATAACTTTATCGGTAGTGAAGAAACAGAAATAGAAGTGTTGGCCTATGTTAAGTAAATTGTACAGTGTCAATTTGGCAAACTGTTTTAGAATGAGAATAAGTTATTCATCCGTTTGGAGAATTCTTCACAAAAATAATTATCGATCATTCAAGTACCAATTACTCCAAAATCTTTACGTTAACGACCACAACCAAAGATTAACTTATTGCTACTTGTTTTTGGCTAAATACAGAGAAGATTTACGCTATCCGGTTAAAATTATTTATTCAGACGAAAGTCGGTTGACCAACTCGGGAATGTTCAATCGGAATAATCGGAATAATAAAAGATACTGGTCACAAACAAACTTACGTCTAATGCAAGAAGGAAATTTTCAAGAGACCGATTTAGTTTCAATTGCTGGACGGGTATTATTGGAAAAAAAACTTTTGGAGACAATAATTTTCGACGGACAACTTACTGCGGAATGATACCTACAGTTCCTAAATAACCAAATAAATGGTTTCATTGAAGATTTACCACTGACTAACCAAGTTGATATCTATTTTCAAGATGGAGCTCCACCTCACAATTCTCATGCGGTAAGAGGACATCTGAATGACACCTTCCTAGAAAAGTGAAATAGCACTAATCTATCTATTCCATGGCCTTCGAGGTACATCCTTAAATTGTGATATTTGTCTAGAACGTCTAATTTATTTGTCATGTTTTGGATCACCAGACCTTACTCCGTTAGGTCTTTCCTTTGGGGAAAAATTAAAAAGCAGGTGAATAAAGCTACGTCAGCTACTCGCAAAGAACTGGTGCTTAAAGTAAGGGCGGCATTCCGGATCGTAACTGCTGAAAAGTTAATCAGCATTGTGCAAGCAACAACTGATAGAGTTGAGCTTTGGCGTGATCAAGGAGGAGGCCATTTTGAACACTTAGAACCTTAGTGGCACATTTTTGAATTGTGTTTTTTGTTATAATAATGATAAGATATGTTTTTAATCCGTTTGTATAGTTTACTCCAACATAAGGCTATTTCTTTTTCTTCACTGACGATAAAGTTATTAGCATTTTCTTCTGCTTTGCAAATTTTGTATTTCGAAAGCAACACCTTCAAAAATATTTGTCAAATATTGACAAGTGAGGCATTGTTGAGTTCAGAATTTCATTCTCGATCGGAATAGGTAAAAATATATAGAGTGTCCGTATTCGTTTTCAGTACGTCAAAGCAAGTGAATTTGTCAAAAAAGATAAATTTATATACTATCTAATACGCAACCCCCAAATTTCGTTTCTTCTATCTTCAATAATAAAAAGGTTATAGGGGTGAGCCACCTTGGAGAAATACCCGGCATGAACGACGATGAGAATTGGATTACTAATATATCTGCTATCAGTATTAAATGCAACGCTACCCGCAATGATGAAATGATGCAAGCATTACTAAGGCGTCATGTATAGCGAACGCTAGGGATGTTAGTGGGAGAGAGAAGAATGCCAGAGAGTGTCTATAAAACCTTTCTCCTGTTCAAAAAAGGTAAGAGTATTGCTGTAATTATACTTTGGGTCCAGTCCGAAGACATCACTTTGTTTATTCACTATGTAGTCCGCCCCTGGAGTACGATCCGCGCACCAAGTTGAAAGACGAGAATCCCCACCTCCTCGCCGCGCCCTGGCCACTCGCGTTGAATCATTCGCTTTTTGGTGCGCGATCCGTGCAGTCGCCCGGCCTGCTTCAGTTCAGAAAACGCGTGCGATTTCTCTTTTCGGTACATAGTGCTCAGTGAGTAGGTAGGTAAGTTCACAACAAGGCTATTCTTTTTGATACCACTTAGCAGTCTGTTACATAATTGATTGGCGTATTCAACCAGATTGAATACGTTAGCCAATGGTTATACTTGTTTAACAGAAACCATGGAAAAATCAGGAATTTCGGAGGCCAATTCACCCAGCTCCTTGAGAGACATGATTCGGGCCATTTTACAGGAGGAGCTCGAGGCAAGGTCAGGTGGTTATCGTTCTCGCACTAATTCGAGAAGTTTATCCCGAAAGAGTCGACACAGCAGATCCATGTCTCGTACCAATTCACCTCATCATTTTAGACGCTCCCGCTCTCGCATCAGCCGTAGGCGTTCAAGGTCACGCTCTAGGAGTAGTAACAGTCGCAGTCGATCACCGAGCGTGTCGAGGCGACGTAGAGAGAGACGGGAATATTTGCGTCAAGAGAAAAACTCAGGCAGCCCATCTGATAAGGTACAGCGTCAGGTAGACTCGGCTGGCCGTTCTCCGTGCGAGGCGGAAGCTCAGATTCTGACAGGGCCGGACTTGGGAACGGTACCAACTGAGAAAAATGATATGGAGGATGTTTTGATGCTTAGTGAAGGTGAGTGTCTCCCATTATCGGAAGACATATTAAATATCCTGGGTGTAGATCCTAAAAAAGCCAATAGGTCTAACTTCCAACTACACGGTGCCTTAGCTTCTCGATGGTCCCACATTTTGGCCAACGGACTTTCCACCGAGGACACCACCATCATTAGAGAAAAACACATTGTGCCTTCTAACTGTGCCTCTTTACACCCTCCGAAGATAAACCCCGAAGTGAAAGCCATTCTCTCTTCTACTCATTTAACGAGAGATGCCACCCATTCCGGGTACCAATTGAACATTGGTACCGGACTGACCGCCATGGGGAAAGCTTTTAACGTCATTTTGGAAGAAGAAACCCAGATTCCCAAGGATATCAAGGAAAAGATTTTATCGAATTTGACAGATTCTGCGCGAATCTTGGCGGCACTCTTTCACGACATCTCTAAAACTAGAAAGTACCTGATCAGCCCAGTACTCAACAAATCAGTTAAAGAACTGACTGAAAACACCTTACCAGGGGAGTTCTTATTCGGGCCAGATTTAGGTGAGCGGGCGAAAAATTTGAAATCTTTGGAGAAGGCCGGACAGGACTTACGTTTGTCCTCTATCCCCTCACGCAGTAGCTCTCAAGTGACTCGGTCTTTCAGTAATCCTGAAAGAAGAGGGGGGGGAGGCAACTCGTCAAAGAATGTAGGCGCTTTAAACAGGTATCGCCCGTCTTACCGCAAGAGGGAGGTGAGGCAGCACAAGGGCAATTCCTCAAAACAGTTTGCTCCGAACAGACAACAGCAGTCCAGAAAACGTTGAAGGTAAAACAAGTTCTATTTGCTGGTCGGCTACAATTTTACCTCAACTCTTGGTCAAAACTAACTTCAAATCCGATAGTCTTATCCTGGATTCAAGGTTACCGGATTCCCTTTAAATGCACACCTCCATTACGTCAACCTTTGGGCACAAATAATTTTTCTTCGACAGAAACATCGCTAGTTCGAGTAGCTATACGCGACTTGCAGAAGTCCGGGGCCATAATCAAATCTGAGTCAAGGCCCGATCAATTTATCTCTCCATATTTTCTTGCAGATAAATCCAACGGGGGAAAAAGATTTATATTAAACCTGAAACAGTTAAATGAATATGTGGAATGCCCGCATTTCAAAATGGAGGACCTTCGTACGGCTATAAAATTGACTCATAAAAACGCGTACATGTGCACAATCGACTTGAGAGATGCGTATTTTTTAGTACCTGTCCACAGCGACCATCAACAATTTCTAAAATTCTACTTTGATGGCCAATTGTATCAATTCACTTGCCTACCGTTTGGGTTATGTACAGCTCCGTTATGTTTCACAAAGCTTATGAAGCCAGTCGTCTCTTTTCTCCGCAATTTAGGCATCTCTACAGTCAATTATTTAGACGATTTTCTAATCTTTGGAGTTTCCTATGAATCCTGCCTTAATAATGTTAGCACAACCATTCGGTTTTTAAGCTCATTGGGTCTTATCATCAATAACAGCAAAAGCATTCTGGTACCCACTACTCGTATAAGATTCCTCGGCTTTCTGATAGATAGTGTTAATTTAACAATTGAACTTCCTGCCGAAAAGAAAAATCACATCCTCAGGTTAGCCTCATATTATTTGAACCAATCGAGATGTAGAATTCGCGACTGGGCAAGGTTCATTGGCACCTTGGTGTCGGCTTGTCCTGGTGTGAAATACGGGTTTCTTTATTGCAAATCTCTAGAAAGGGAAAAATTCTTAGCTTTAGAGAAAAACAATGGAAATTATAACGCAAGTATGGCTATTCCTGAAAACATAAAGAGCGATATTTCATGGTGGAAAGATCACATTTCAACAGCTTTCAATGACATAAGGTATGATTCCTTTCAGATCACCATCTTTACCGACGCATCGCTAACAGGATGGGGGGCTTGCTCTGGCCAGGATAGAACCCACGGTTTCTGGTCCGACTCCCAAAAACTATTGCATATAAATAATTTGGAATTATGGGCTATATTTTACGGCATCCAGTGTTATGCAAAACTTTTAAAAAATTGCAATATTCTAATTCGATGCGACAATACAACAGCCGTTTCTTACATTAACAGAATGGGGAGTGTTCGGTTTCCAGAGCTATGTTCTCTGGCTAAACAAATTTGGCAATGGTGTGAGGAAAGAAATCTCTGGCTTTTTGCATCATACATCCCATCTAAAGATAACGCTATAGCAGACGATGAGTCCAGGAGCTTGAATTTTGAAACGGAATGGTCATTATCTCAAACTGCCTTCGACCATTTAACCGACATCTTCGGAAAACCAGAGATCGATCTTTTTGCCTCTCATACCAATGCGAAATGCGAGGTATACGCTTCCTGGCATAGAGATCCAGGATCTACATATATCGATGCGTTTACAATTCGCTGGAACAGTTTTTATTTTTATGCATTCCCCCCTTTTACCTTAATTCTCCGAGTTTTACAAAAAATAATTCAGGATAAGGCTGTCGGAATTTTGGTGGTTCCTTGGTGGCCTTCACAACCTTGGTACCCACTTTTCCGTCAGTTATTGATCGACCAAGAAATTCATTTTCCCCCTTCACCTGATTTACTATCTTGTGCGGTTTCCAGGTCACATCCGCTGTCGAAAACCCTTACCCTGGTAGCAGCGAAGTTATCAGGCAAGCGTTTTTGAGTAGAGAGGTGCCGGAAGCTGCTATTTCTACAATCATCGCCTCAGTCTCCAGATCCACATTGCAGCAATATAACAGCTCCTACAAATTGTGGTGGGAATTTTGCTTTAGTAATGACATTTCGATCTTTAAACCCACAATCAAAGACGTGGTGTCATTCTTGCAAGAGTTGACAAAGAAGAAAAACCTCACGTCTGGCACTTTTAATTCTCATACATCTGCTCTTTCACTAATTTGCTCAACTGATTTAGCATCCAATCCTATAATTAGACGCTTCAAAAAAGGCATTCATCGTTTACGGCCTTCTCGGCCAAAATATTCGGCCACCTGGGATCCTATACCTCTCCTAAGTTATCTAGAAAAGTTACCATCTCCACTTAGCCTCCAAAGTCTGTCACAAAAATTGACAACGTTATTAGCTCTAATAACAGGAGAAAGACTCCAGACAATTTCTCTTATTCGTCTTTCACATACCTCCCATGGTCCCAGCGAAACTACCATTAATATTTCAGACCCAATTAAAACCAGTCGAATTGGGAAACCTCAACCAACCTTGCATATACCGGTTTTTCAACAAAACCCTTTCCTGTGCGTAGCCACCATCCTGAAGGAATATATTGACAGAACAGCTAGCTTGAGAGAACCCGACAACGATTTTCTATTCGTGACATATAAAAAACCACATACCAGGGCGTCCAAAGACACTTTAAGCAGATGGGTAAAACAGACTCTTGCATCGGCGGGTGTCAACACAACACTTTTTACGCCTCATTCAGTCAGGCATGCGGCTACCTCAACGGCGTTAAGAAAAGGCGTTTCCGTAGATAGTATATGTAAAACAGTTGGTTGGACGCAACATTCCACATTTGCAAAGTTTTATAATCGTCCTTTACAAACCAACAATGAGTTTGCAAATGCCATTTTGGACATAAATGCCTGATTAGTTAGAACAGTTTAAGAGTTTGTGACGTACTTTAGGTTGTTGGGTAGGTGTTTTTTGAAAAAATATTACTATTAGGGTAAATGTTAAAAATTGACCCCTTGTTTTTTGCTTTTGTTTATGAGAATGCAGAATATATGTTTTTGCCTTTTTGGGTTTGTATACTTGTATTTTTTATATCATCAACTCGCTCGCAACTCTATCTCATCTTTAAACATCTACATAGTGAATAAACAAAGTGATGTCTTCGGACTGGACCCAAAGTATAATTGATCGATCAAACGAACTTACCTGAAGTGAAGTTCGATCGTAATTATACGAGGGTCCAGTCCGAAGACATCACCCCCACCCTATATGCAACCCTCCCAAGTTGCGAGCAAGTACCATTTCTTTAAACAAATGATTCAACGCGAGTGGCCAGGGCGCGGCGAGGAGGTGGGGATTCTCGTCTTTCAACTTGGTGCGCGGATCGTACTCCAGGGGCGGACTACATAGTGAATAAACAAAGTGATGTCTTCGGACTGGACCCTCGTATAATTACGATCGAACTTCACTTCAGGTAAGTTCGTTTGATCGATCAATTATATGCGTATATTACAGTTTCCGTCGATCAAGTTAATACTACCTGGTGGATTAGCTGTCTCAGAAGAATAATTTTATGATTTCATGGCATAGATTCATTTTTGAGTATGCATAAATAATACGCATTTTGGTTATATTTCCTACTTACCACATTTGTAACCAAAGTATTAGAAATACATGTATTCTATCATATTATCCCTAGGTCGTCTGGGCAAAAGTGAACTTACCTGAAAAGAATAAAAAAATTAGTTTACAGCTTAAATAGCCATTGAAGTCTTCAAGTTTTACACAGGGTTCGTCCGAATAACAGGGCGGTTTCTTTCGTAAATAGGATGCGTAGATAACGAATTTAATATCACTTTTCGGTTACATCAACGAGAGACTCTAAACAATCCGCTCATATACCACAAATTCTGAAATACTTTCTTGTTTTGTATGGCTATATTCGAAATGATCGTATCATGTATCACAAATATGAACAGTCTTAAATTTTTCAACATAATCATCATGAACATTTGTCAATTTGTGCTTTTGGCTCGCGTCATTAAACGACGATACCGCCTGCCGTTCAACCATTTAGCAACTGTTTCTTTTAACATGTCAATGTTTTCTAAGCGGCTGCCATTAAGAAATCCCTTAACTTTTCAAAGAAGAAGAAAATCTGATAATACTAAGTCAGGTCTGTATGGTAGGTGATCCAGTAATTCCCAACGAAACTTGTCCTGTTGCGTCTGTGTCCTTGACACAGTGTGCGGCCGAGCGTTGCCATGAAGCTCAATGTCGCTGCTAGAGAGCAGGCCTTCCCCGAGATTTTGCATAGCTCAGCTAAGCTTCAATAATGTTTTACAGCACATCTCAGCATTTAGCAAGGCGGACCTTTCTGCGTTTAAATACCAAATTACTGAGCGCGCTGCACAATCAACAGGTTAACTGAGTGACATTGCGACAAATAAAGTAATGCAACACCGACAGGATGGTGAAATGTAATAGCAGCGTAGTGGAAGACAGGCCGAGAAGCCTGAGGTTGGTGACTATGCGCAATCAATTCTTACTTTAAAAATTGCACTTGTACCACTAAGCTTGATTTGCTTGTAACAACAAAAAGCGAACATATACATTTTGAACATACTTGACTTGATCCCAACGAAACATTAAAAAGTTAGATCCAAATGGCGGAGTCTAGCCGTTGGCCAATCTACTCAACTATCATTTGGAAATATTAAGAAACTGTAAAAATATCTGTATACTGTATACGTGATAAAGTATTAAATGCTTCTAAAACTTCAGTATTACTGGGAACATAAAATACATAATTGAATATATGCAAGAGAGATTAAGTGCTATAAGAATTTCTGTGTTAGTGTGTGTTGACAATATATTGTTATAATAGTGACATAAATTTCTGATGATTTGCTGTACTACTAACATTGATGTCTGATGCATTATAATATTTAGCGGGGTTATATGAGTAAGAACGCTGAAACATGCTTGCTCTAAATGATGAAAGAGTGGATATAATTAATTTTATAAATGACAAAAATAATATAATAATAAAGATTAGAACAGGTTATTAATTTTAAGCCAGTTACATTATCATATTTCCTGAGATTATTTGTTAACCGGCAACAAGAATTTTGAATTTTGTATTTGTGAGCAAGAATAATACGTTACACCACATAAAATTTTAGAAATGATTAATGATTCACAGAGTCGCTTTTTTGTTTTAAAACTCAGTAATTCTTGTTGGTATATAATAGTTTCAGTCTAAAATAGCATGTTCTGATGACGCTGTTTACATGCGTGCGAAAACGTATTCCTTCGTGTATGAGTAGACCCAAATTTTTGCTTACGCATTCAATTTTAAATCTATGCTGCCTATTCTCAGAACAAGGCCTGCCCTTAAATGTCTCCGTTTTACTTTCTTGCAAAAAAGTTCATTTGATTTTTGAGGATTGAGTTGTATTCTATTCAGGTACATTAATACTTTCGAGCTCAATTTTAATTTTAGCATCAGCCATTTTAAAATCATGATCGGGAAAGCTTAGCAATAATTGAGTATCATCGGCATAACAACTTACATTTGAGTTTTAAAATTTGACGACCAAATCAGCTGTATGTATTAAAAAGAATAGGGCTCATAGAATTGAACCTTGTGGTACCCCTGAAGGTAGATTCTGTAAAATAGAAATACTTGTGATCAGTACCACCTCGTTTAAGATATGACACTAGGAAACGTAGTGGCCGCTTATCAAATCCAAGATAAGTATTCTTGACTAGAGGTAGAAGATGGCTTATGGTATCGAATGTCTAACTGAAATCGACACGAAATGTTGTTAGGATCTTATCATCATCTATAGCTATAATGTATGAACAGTGCTACATTCTTTTCGAAATCCAAGCTGCTGTTCAGCCAATGCATTGTTAGTAGAAGTAAACTCAAAAATTTGTTTGAAGATTGTTTTCTCTAATACTTTGGAAAGAACTGGTGAAAGGCTGATAAGTCACTAACTAGTTCTGAATTTTTGGTTCTAGGAAGTGGCATGACTAGCGACACCTTCCATAGCCCGGGAAAATATCCTGTCTCTATGCAGCAATTGGGAACGTGAACCAAAGTACTAGAAATTGCTGGGAGACAGATAGGCCATCCTCGCCTCGATCAATAGATTTTATTTAGTGTAACACTATGAAAAACATCATGGGTATTGATAGTTCTAGAATTAAAAATTGTTTGATTAGTGTCCATGTTAGATGCAAGCCATGTTTCAGGAAGAACAATAACATCAAACTTATGATCAGTAATCAGGCAATTCATATAAAGAAGGTATCAAAGACCTTACGTTAAGATATCCAAATTTCATCACTACTATCCTCCGCAAAACCTTGTTTAACTGGGTTTTTCTGTCAATTAAAAACGACCCAATCTTCTGGATTACATTCATGAAGCTAACATCAGCGAATTCGCCATATATTACAGTTAGAACCCCATATCCTTGGGCGGAATCCTAACCGCAAACTTGTATACTTTTCCACAGTATGCGAACTACGGCTAGTTCCAACACTGGGTCATAAAGATATTAGCGTTGTGCATGGTCTTACAAACTTTCCCTCAGCCAGTAAACCAAATCTGCCTCCGGAATGCGTAATAAGGGTTTCTTCCTTCCGGGATATTCTTAGAATTCTGCTTTGAATCATAACTGGGAACACGCGTGTGAAATTTTGCTGTGGTGTGAGAAAAATATATTTTCTATTACAGAGCTAGGATCTACTTTTACCAACAAAACCCTGTGAGATCTACGAAGTACATACTTTCTGAAATTATAAATGAAACACTATGCAGTATCTCTAGCAAAGAGAAAAACACAAAATTGGATTATGTCAGTCAGTCGGGCAGCCCTAAATAAATAGGTTGATAAATAACACATTATCGTATTTTTTTTAATTCCATTATAAAACGACGGAAATGATGTAATCACTATGTCACGTTCACTCTCACAAGAAAACGCTGAGGCTGGCTACACTGTGGATACTGTAGCTGGCGACTTCTGGTTCCACATGAAGCTATACCTACATCGTTGGCGACGTTACTATGGCGTCTCCTATGGATTTATTTATTGTAGCTCCGACTACATCTAGGATGCCGTGCTCTCTTCCTATTGATCTCGGCTTACACGGAACAAGTGCTTGCAGTCATTATTTATTGGCAGCATCATATCCCCC